GATCTTGTACCTTTTGGAACAACTGGAAGAACTTGTCGAAAATCTCCTCCAAAGATTATGACCTTTCCTCCATATGGTAGGTCAACGCCCATTATATCTTTGAACGTTCGATCGAGAGCCTCAAATGCAAACCTGTGTGCCATTGGTGCTTCATCCCAAACAACAGCTGATGTTTTTCTTATCAATTCTGCCAAATCTGACTGGATACTAATAGAACATGTGGAAGATGCATCTGGACTGAGGGGAATTTTAAATCTAGAGTGTGCTGTCCTTCCACCTGGTAATATGGTTGCTGCAATTCCAGATGTTGCTGTTGCCAATATAATATGACCCTTACTCCTTAAGGTTGCTAACAAAACACGATATAAGTATGTCTTTCCTGTCCCTCCGGGACCATCCACAAAAAATATGGCATTGTCTCGTTGTTCAATAGCAGACACAATCGAGTTATACGCTGTCATTTGGTCTTCATTTAGATTTTGTACTGCATTGAGGTCTGCTTCAGAGATGTCAAGTGAAACTTCATCTTGTATTATCCTTGGAATTGTGTTGTCTCTAACACAATCTTGTGTTATTTGTGGTAAATCGTAATCAGATACAGACTTACTATGTTGCACTAATAGTCCGTTCAAGTCTTGCAAAAGCTTGTTCAAGATAGAAGTATTATTTGTGGTACTTGAAACAGAATAATCTTCCACCATAAATGAATGAAATTCATCCCATAATCTTCTTACTCCATGTGGCTCACAATAAACTAAGATGGTAACAAACAACCTTCGCAAAGCTGACGGCATGCGAATGTTAGTGGCTTCACAGAGACACTGTCTGATGCTATCATCATCTTCTAGCAAACCTCGTTGTTCCACTGCCTTCTTAAATGTTGGTTGTACAATGTCATTGACTGTTCTTAAGTTCTCAAATGATGTTGGTCCTCTAACATGATTAAGAAGGATGCGTAAGTAGAATTTTTCACCCTCATTCGGCGAGACTGCATATATCCGGCCAATAACTTTATGGTTATTCATCCTCTCACTCCAGAGTTTATCTCTTTGACTCCATTTGAACCGTTCAGGGAATTCCCGGTATAAGTATTGTCTTGCTTCCGGGCAAGTGGTATTCTTGGTAAAAAACTCTGTCAGCATAGTCATCGAGTTAGTGTCATCTGCCAAAATATCTGCTACTCTTTGGTGAGGGTAAAAATGAATAGTTTGTCCTTCAGGAAGATGAATTTGTAATCGTTCCACCGATGGATAAAGTCGATTAGTTACAAATTTGAATATTCTCCATAAAGCTTCAGGTGCACAAACCCATCTTGCATCAACAAACTGCTTTATTTCATCTTGAATAGGTTCATGATGGACTTCAAAAGCTACTCGGTCGGGACCTTTGTAAACATATTTGTACAGATACTTAACACTCTTAATGCTGCAACAAATCTCAACATTAATATGACAATCATATCTGAGGAGTAGCCATGAGTTGTACGGAATGACCCACCGATTATCCACCATTATACGTGCATTATGATCTAATGGGATTGGATCATGATTGTCTCTTCTACGATAGACTGGATAAGAATCATTTCCTTGAACTGTAGTTGGTGCAAATGGCTTAGGATAATTTCGTTTACAGCTACCACGTTTCATACAGGGTGATCGTGAATTGTGTATTCCACATGGACCATGTATCATATGCCTTAAGACGGCACCATACAATTCAGGCTCTTCATTTGGATTTGGTATTTCATCCCGTACCACCTGATCATAATCATCTGGACTATTAAGCTTATCATTTTCTTCTAACATGAGAAGCATGTGAACATGGGGGAGACCGCGCTTTTGAAACTCAATGACATATACATATGCAAGAACTTTGCCTAAAACACCTTTTTTTATAACATCATTCTTCAACTCTTCAAATTTTGCACGAAAAACCCTTGTAAGCAAATCTGGTCGATCTTGTGGTGTTTGGCCAGGTAGTAGCTCATCACTTATTTCTTCCCAAGTTGGATTACATGTCATTGTTAGGAAAATGTCTGGTCTTCCATATTTTTGAACCAAAGTCATTGCATCTTGATACCTTTGATACATGTCTCGGGGACTACCAACAAAAGATGATGGTAATATAGTCCTACGACGACCGACGTCTCCTGTATTTGTTTTGTTATAAGTCGTTAATAAATCTAAATATGTTGTTTTGTTTCAACCCTTTAATAAGTCTCATTTAATGTGACAGAACATGAACTTAAAGAATATATGTTTTATTATAAACTGATTAGCTTCATACCTGCATTATTTTGTCCTGCAATTAATGAGTCTTGCAGTCCTCGATAAAATTCAGATCGAATTGTGTGTTGATTATTACGCATCCATCTAAGCTTTTGTGATTCGATCTTGACGTAGTTATCAACTACATATTGTTGCAATAGGCGGCCACCACGAAGTAGAAGCGATTCGTCATGTTGACGGATCTAAAATGATAAAATTCATTGTTCAACACAATATAAGTTTTAAAAATTAATATTGTATTCATAGAGATGAAGGTCTTAGGTTACCTGAAGAAGATACGAATAATAGTCACAACATGTCACTTTTCTGCTGTTGTTTTTTCGAGTATTCACATCCCATCCATATGTTCCATAAGGTAACAACAATGGATATTGTAAAGGGTCATAGTAGCCGACACAGTCTTTGATACTCTTAAGTTGACCATCTGTAGTTTGCACAACAATATCTCGACCTCTAATGTTTTCTGATCCTTCACCACCTACTATGATTGCAGCAACCTGAGATGCAGATGGTAAACAATATTGTCGTTGATTCGCGAGCTGCTCCTTGATAATCAATCTACAACTTTGCAAATCTTGACGTTGCGCAAGGTGGTGAAATGTTTGCACAAATGGATTATATTGATTCAAGATTTGTTGGATTTTTTCAACCACACCTCTGTTTAGTGCTTCACTTTCTCTCATTCGATTGTCTATTTCATGAGCTGTGTCATATATATACATTTGTAGGAATCTCGGTCTACTATCTCTAATAGGAAAAAGACTTCCAATCTTATGATATATGGAACCTTGAGCACGAAATGTGTAAATACCACGTCTTCCAGTTGCTAGGTTTTCGTCAACATGAACTCCCATTGAAGTGAAGGCAAAAATGTGGTTGTAAGCTCGTATATTCTGCCTAAAATGTCTTCCCTCGGCAGATTGGTTGCAAAAAAGCTCAGTCATTTCAGGAGGGGACGGTGCCAATGGTAGAGCAAGCTTTCCACGTAAGCAACACATTTCAGATGTTTCATGAGAGAACAAACGGGCATGACAATCTGGACATGTGGTTGGATTTGGCATGTGAAATCTTGGGATTTCCATGTTTTCATTAAAGTTTCTAGCACAATTATGAATTGGCCTTCTTCCCATAGTATGATGTCGAGGTGGTACGTCCTCGTTAGGCTGGATCTCATTTTCATTAATGAGATTAAAAGCATCTGCTTAAAAAGGAAACATTAAAGGTGTTTCATGATTTAGAGAGCATAGTTGAAATTGTAGGTATTAATATTCAAAAGCTAATACCTTCATTGATGATGGGCAGATAACAATGACTCATTGGAGTATTCGAACTAAACGATTGCGCTGTTGTATTTTCTGTTATAATCAAATGAAATAGAAGTAAGGTAATAAGTAGTGTTTACAGAAATGATGATATTGATGTTTATCTTTTTCAAAGTTGTACTATGGTAGTTTGTGCGATTACCATTATTAGTGAAACTTTGTATTAGTCCATCCCGAGGCAAGCGTGTCCTATTCGATCGGGCAATTTGCCTTATATGAGTTAAGCGCATTGTTCTTGGAACTTGATTGCTGCTGCCTTCTCCAAACGGCACTATGTTTAGTCGTTCAACATGATTGCTACTGCCTTCATCGAATTGCACTATGTTAGGGTGTTGAACTTGATCGGCATCACCACCAAATAGCATTATGTTTGAGCGTTGAATTTGTTGAACACGATAATTGGATCGTCGCCGTGCTAAATATTTGTGTCTTTGGCTTGAACTCATTGAATTCCGCCTCATACGTTGTTGATCCCGCCATTGCTCTCGTTGGCTTTGTGTCTCATCAGTAACATATGCATTTTGTTGCTCTAAACCAAGAAACGTAATGGTGCACGAAAAATATTAGTAAGCATAGAATATTATTTAAGTACCTACATACGTATTTTTTTTTCCTTTTGTTTTTGTAATTGAATCATTGGTATACATTACGTTTTTTTTTTATTTTCGTTTGATTGAGACTGCCTAGGTCACATAATAAGTGGCAGAGGAAGAAGAAAACAAAGAAAAAGTGAATGTTTTGTATTTTGAGCTATTTTCTCTTTAAAGTCTGTAGATTTTAGTGATCAGAAAAGCAAAAACTGTGGATTGTTTTGGATGCCAGACCTTGGATGAATAGTATTGTTTATTTTAATTGATCACAGAAAAGAAAAAACTCATTTTTTTTGGATGAGAGTGGTTTTCTTCTTGCCGTTTTCGGATGAAAATGAATGCAACGCCAATATCTCTGAATCTAGGGTTTACTAAAATTTAGTGAATTTCATGCACTGAATCATTGATTTATGATTTCATTTCTCTGATTTGGGTTGTGCTTTTTGCTTCCTTTGATTTTGCATCTGTATAATTATGTGCTGCATGTTTTTGTTTAACTTCACAATTTTTTCCATTTAGTATCGATGTACTATATCTTTATGTGATGTTATTTTTATATTTTTCTCTTGACTATTATAGTTGAACTGTTATTCCAAGTTTACATAATATTCCTTTCCTTATTTGTTTATTTTTATTTATTTTTTTAATTTTTATTTATTTATTTATTTTTCTTGTTTGGAGTACTTGTTAAAACGTTGGTCACTATGGTAAATATATACAATCCAAATGTTGAAATTATTATAGACATAACAGAATTATTAAATGGATGTTTGCATTGATAGTACAAAAAGGCAATGACAACTTAGAATCACTGATTTGTTCAATCTTATTATATTTGTCTTAATAATTTGTCTTAATAATTTGTACAAAAATGTTAATACAACATACGAATTGAATAGAGACAAAAAAATAAGAAATCATAGTTACCCGCAGATGTCGGTCCTATGTTTTCTTGGTTTACTTCTGTTTGATTTTGGACTATATTGATTGAGTTCAAGCGGGTTTGATAATTGGCACGTCGTCGTATTGAAATTCGAGCCCGCTGTGATGAATTCATAGATTGTCGTCTTTGTCTTTGTTGATTGCTCCTATGATTTTGCCTTTGTTGATTATTCCTACGATACCTTGGGTCTGACTGTTGAAAATTGTGAACATTTGTTTGTCCAAAGTCAACTTCTTCATTGCCAACCTACATTGAGAAATTGCTAAACAGAATGAATTTTATTTTATTTTTGAAAAAGAAGAAAAAATATATCATCTGTACAAAAGAGGAATAATGCAGATAAGGTAACAACCTCTGACATATCGCTTCTATCAATTCCCTCCATACTTGATATGTTGTAGTCCTCCAAAAATCTTAAAACTGAAATTTCAATTTGATGATTCTTAATAAAGGTAAAATTGAAGAAAAATATGAAAACATAAAAAAAAAATTAAGCTTACATCCATTATATATAGTTGAACCATAAATCATAAGGCAAAGGGAAAATACCCTCTCTCTCTCTCTCTCTCCCTCTCTCTCTCTCTCTCTCTCTCTAATGGATGACCATTCTTGTCATCCCTTTCTATTTCATCTCTGGCAGGGAAAGTAGCCTATTCTGTTTTGGACGTACATGCTTAATATTGATCACGATGATGTTGAAATCACTCAAGTACGAAAAATGTAAAGTCTTATCTCATGTGAAGATTAATTAGAGTTTTGTTCTAAAGTAGGCATAAAAAGGTGATGCCTTTGACAACATTCAAAGTAAATATTAAACATGTTGTGCGATTGTCTACCATCTAACAAATTAAGAGTGAAATGAAGGAAGTACCTTAGTAATGCAGTAATTCTGTTTGTATCTCTGTTTAAATGCTCCACTAATTCAATGCACCAAAGCCTATTTAACCAAAAAGAAATGAGCAGAATGTAGATAGGGAATTGATATTAGTAATGCAAACCACCCACTACCGATTAATAGTCCATGTTTGTAATCCTTATTTAAGCTTGACAGGACAAAAACAAATGAGTTTGAGATTTGAGTATAAAAGATTAAGATTGAGAGTTGAAATGTTGTACCGAGCAAGACTCTTTCTCGACCTGACATTATGCTGTTGTAACAATTATGCCAGTAGAAAACAAACAGCAAGAGAAGAAGATACCTACCACTGGAGATAACTTTTATTTGAAAACACCTCTTGGACCCGCTCTCACCCGAATGTATTTCTGGCATATTGAAAACAACAGAAAAGAACATTCCTATTAATTTCACTACCTGTGATAATAAAAAATGAAACAGATAACAAATTTTATAACAAATGTTGGTCTGCAGAAGCATCACATATTACTGATGATTATTCTTAGGGGTGGATCATTTAAACATATTTGAACGATCATCCAAATATTGGTTGGATGATCGAAAATTTTACCTCTGGAGGGATACTTGGATATGCATTAAGTTTGATAAGCATCAGTTCACGTTCTACTTGTGGCTCCCTTGAGAAGTCTTCGACCTAATAAAGCAGAATTATAAGTGAAGATAATGCAGAAACTACCAAAAGGTTTTACACGAAATACTAAAGACATCCACTAATTATAAACAAACCACCGAAATTAGGACTTAAATTTAAACTCAATCAAAGCTAAAAGGAATATCAAAGTTTATTCAAACTTAAAAAATAGAATGAAAACATATACTTAAAATTTGATGTTAACAAATCCCTAATTTTAGATCACTTACCTTTAGTGCAAAAATCCTTGAAACAGAAATGGAAAGATGACGAAACGTGAAAGCACAATACTTCGAAACCCTTTTTTTTCACAACTTGCAGAGTTGAAAATGTTCAAACACCTGCATTTGTCAAAGGAATTGATCACATTATATCCACTGAAAAAAATTGTTTTTCAGAGACTATATAAACTTTTGTTTTTTAATAGCTCTAAAGTAAATTAGTCACACAAAAACGATAAATAAATTAGGCCAACACTATTAGTAACCCAAAAAAATTGCAGAAAAATCTACAAAATAGCAAGACATGAGAAATATCTGTGCATAAGAGAGAGTGAGTGTTTAACATATATCATATACCCATGGCGAAACACAAATAGAAAGTTTTCCTTTCAGTTTTGCAGCTATTCTCCCGGTTGGCCTTGGCCTCAATGAATCGTGACATTAAAAGTGGACCATAGCTTGGTTTTCTTATGAGCTACATGACGGACACAGATTAACACGTCATGACACAACTTAATGATCTAACCGATCCTACACTTTCTTGCAGAATGCCAGGCAGCAAGATTCAACAGATTAATGTTATTATATTCAATACCGCAAACCAAATTGTAAAGTGAACTCTAAAAAGTAAGGCCTATGCTAGACATTTGTATTATATAGCAACTTCATTTCCATCACAGAGTACACATCATTGAACAAACTAAGAAGATACCTGTTGTAAATCCAGAAGCTTTCTTTCAAGATCTTTAACAGCATCGTGTCGCTCTTGAATTTTGGCCAAAGTGTCCATTATCTACAATTTGATACACAATTTTGGACCTGATCAATCTTAATCAGAAAATTAAGTGTTTCAACAACCCAAGCTAGAAGAGTTAGGAGCTTAAAATTAATTGTTCAAGATGTCAAAAAATTTGTCAAGTTTGTGAGAGAATGCACAATTTCGATAGTAAAAAGTGTTTATTTGGGGGTAGAGAATAAAAAAGGAAATTTGACAAACCTGGCCTCCACCTTGTTCTTGGATTGCCATCCAGAAAATATGTTCACTGTATTGTGTGTCGATTAATCTTTCAATTGTCTGTACGATGTTAAATAATTAGAAACTGAGCTTTCACATTGGTATAGATATACCGTAATTTCAACAGTGCAATAAGTTTTACCTCTTCATCAGCTCTTATGCTCGTTACTGACATTCACAAAATGCAAGAGAAATAAACTATAAAATCAGATCATAGAAATTCAAGTAGAAGCTCCACATATAGCAACCACTGATGAGTGGCAAGTGAGGGATTCAAACTTGTAAAAACTCGCCTCTCGACAACATCACAATACTCTTGATGGATGGTGTCCCTTAGAGTCTGCATGTTTTAAGTTAAAGAGTAACACTATTTTATCGATTAAAATTTGCATGTAACACCTCAAAAATATTAAGATTATATGGTATGGAGTCAGACATGGCGAAAAATATAAAATTTACAGCAGAAAGATGCTTAGAAGCATCCAATATGAGAACTGGTCTGCCGTTAACATCAAGAAATTCGTGTACATTAGTTTTTTCTGTTTCGGCTATACCCTGCACTCAATCACAGGATTAGGGAAGTACCAAAACACACTGAAATAGTATGGCCACTGATTCATCCTACTCTCTCTCCCTCTCTAAAGCTTTTGCTCTGATATTTTGACACATGAAACCTGCAATTTTGCGTTCTGGGTAGTTTTTGAACATGAAAAATGAATGCCATATGAAGGTCTTGTGAAGAATTTTGGGTTGTTTTGATTTTGGTTTTGGTTTTTTGTGGGATTGTTAAAATGTCTCAGAATTCTGATACAATGAGAGGAATCCCACCTGGGATTTTGCTGATTAGAAGCATTAGAGGCAAAGACTGGAGTCTTTCTACATATAGATATGTGATTTTGCTTGTTACTTTCATAGCGTATACATGTTACCATGCATCTAGAAAACCCAGTAGTATAGTTATGTGAATTGAAAAAGACCAAAGCATATTTAAGATTATACCAACAAATTATATCCACAAATTATGCAATTGGAGTTTCTGGGTAACTTTAAATTCCCCAAAAAGCAATCTAAAATACCAAAATCAGTGACAAACTACAAAGCCAACATAAAAAAAAACGAAAACTTACGGAAGAGTTCGACTTTGTAGTCCCAATCTGCAAGGGAAAAAGAAAATGAAAAGAGTAGAAAACACACAATCTCACCCATTGAGTAAGGTAGTCACTATTCCCAAACTAACTGACAGAAAAAAAAAAAACCCAGAAAAATACCCTAGTTTTTTAAATTGGAAAGTTGGGTACCTTCGAATGGCACTGAAGGCGACGGGGAGTAGGTGGAGGAGACAGAATTGCTAATATCACTTCTTGTTTTGGGTAGCAATATCACAAAAACATCAAATTTTGCATCCAAAATATAATCTCCGAGAAGAAAACTGATTCTTTTCCTCCGGGAAGAACGGGTGTGGTTCTTGAGATGAGTCAAAGAGTTTCAAAGAATTCCTCCGGGTGTGGTTCTTGTGTGGGACGATTCTTTAACCATTTCACTCCTCTGCAAGCCTACAACAATCGAACACCCAAAAATACCAAATGCCTTCAAAACATTATCGCAAAACATAATATAACCCAAACAAACTCCAATTAAACCCTAGTTCTGATCAGTCTACCTTCAAATCCAAATTTGTCCCAATTCCCAAATCCAAATCCAACAAAAAAATGCTCATTAGAAAGCTTAGGTTCAAACCTTAACACCCATCAAAATCTCACTAAAATTATATCCACAAATTATGCAATTGGAGTTTCTGGGTAACTTTAAATTCCCCAAAAAGCAATCTAAAATACCAAAATCAGTGACAAACTACAAAGCCAACAAAAAAAAAAACGAAAACTTAAGAAAATGAAAAGAGTAGAAAACACACAATCTCACCCATTGAGTAAGGTAGTCACTATTCCCAAACTAACTGACAGAAAAAAAAAAACCCAGAAAAATACCCTAGTTTTTTAAATTGGAAAGTTGGGTACCTTCGAATGGCACTGAAGGCGACGGGGAGTAGGTGGAGGAGACAGAATTGCTAATATCACTTCTTGTTTTGGGTAGCAATATCACAAAAACATCAAATTTTGCATCCAAAATATAATCTCCGAGAAGAAAACTGATTCTTTTCCTCCGGGAAGAACGGGTGTGGTTCTTGAGATGAGTCAAAGAGTTTCAAAGAATTCCTCCGGGTGTGGTTCTTGTGTGGGACGACGACAGTTTCTTTTGCTCCCATCACGCGGATTCTTCTCGCAAGATAGTGGGAAGAAAACTGCTTCTAATGTTTTGTTAATTTATTTTTTTTATGACAAAATTATCCCTGCTATTTTGTTTCTATTATTTTCAGTTAGTTTTGGTTTTTTTTGTTTGAGGGGCTTTATAGTCCAATTTTTTTTGGTGAAGCCTTGAGACACCAAAATTGATTGCTGGCTTTCTAATATTAAAGTCTTTAATATTAGAAAGCCAGCAATCAACTTTGGTGTCTCAAGGCTTCACCAAAAAATTCTAGACTAAAATAACCCTCAAACAAAAAAAAACAAAAACCGACACAATAAAATACATTAAAAAACTCATGGACATTTTTGTCAGAATACAAAAATATAAAATTTGTTTTATTAACAGAAAAAGAAAAAGAAACAGATAACTCCTCCATTTTAGGAGAGAGAACAACCAACGTGGGGAGAAAAATCTTCAGGATTAGCACGTTTAATTTTCAAACTGCATAGCAGTTTCCATACAACCCACGTCTATCTTCTATTCCCCCATTTTCTGATCAAACTTCTTCCTCACACAATTCCACGTACAACTCTATTCATTCTGTTTTCTAACTGCAGCCTACCACTCCATATTCTCTCCTTCTTTCACTACTATTTCTCTACAGGTTTCAGTTCTCACCCATTTGCATGCTAAGAATGTACACAAATCGGTAAGTCTCTCTCCCGCACATTTCCAAACCTTTTGTTTGTATTTCAAGCTATAATATTATTACTATTATTATATTTTCTTCTTCTATATATATAGATAAGGTGTTTCACTTCATTGGTTTGTATATTAGCAATTTTTATATATTTGTAACCGTATGATAGGATTACAAATGGTAACGATTTCACTAAATCTCTCTGGCTTTAATTCTTTGTTGTTTTATCCTTTCTGTGTGAGATTCTATCTTATTATTTATAATCCCTGCATTCTTATTCATGTGCTTATAACAACCATTTATTGATTATTATTTTTCTTGCAGTTCCAAGCTTTTGATGAATTAAGGCCAAATCTCACGATCTCCCTCCTTATCCTGCTTTCTTTCAATTTCTTGGTATGCAATATTTCTTTGCCGGGATTTTTTATAATATTATTACTATTATTATATTTTCTTCTTCTATATATATAAATACAAAAGGCAAAAATTTTGAAATAACCATAATCCAAAAATACTCTTACATGATTCAGATTTAAAAAAAAAAAATTATTTCAATAAACCATGAATTCTCAACGCCCCAGATTAACCGTGAATTGCACTAATTAACCCTCAGATTTTCCTAACGTTATTGAATTGGATGATTGCATACGACAACCCAAAACATTCCCCACAAGTCCCCTACATGATTGCATAATAGAGATACAAGCAAGAATCATTAAGTTCTATGAAAACCATAAGCATTGACGAAGCACTTGTTACTATGATTGCATGAAACTTATGCCAAGAATTTACTTAACGCGATTGAGATCATCAACCTTTACTACTTGTGAATATAATTCCATAACGATTAGGTGAAATTTCCTTATATCCTAGCATCCAATTTATGCATGATAATTAAGCGTGCACTCTCAACCAACACACACACAAATCAATGTAATTCACATAGATAAGTAAATTGAATTCACAACTTATGAAACGCAATTAGAAGTAATCAAATCATATTGCAAGCATAAACATGTGTTTCGAATCCCCCCCTAGCCAAGGGGGGGTTTAGTTCCTCATACGCACGAAACAAAGAGAATTGAAATTAAACATTGAAATCAAAGGAAAAGAAACACCTAGAAATTCCAGCGACGTGAACTTGAATTGCATGAACTTCCGAGCTTCCTTCTCCTCCTCCTTGGTGCGGCAAGGGTCTAGGGACAGGTTTTAGGGCCTTAGGTGTATGGATGTATGGTTATGGAGGGATGTAGTAGTGTTTAGGGGAAGGGGATGGTGCGGCAAAGGTCTAAAACTAGGGAAAGGGGTGTTTGGTGGCTGCGGAAAGGGTGTGGAGAGGTTTGGACGAATTTCTGGAATGAATGAATGTGTATGAGAGGTGGTGATCTGATCTAGGGGTTAATATGAGTATTTATAGGCACTTAAAACCCTAGGGTAATCAGATATGGACTTGAATAACCCAAATCCACTAGGAAATAGGCTTAGAAATCAGAAATAGAGAGGGATAATGCTTCCTAGGTGTGGCAGGTATGGGATAAGGTGATAAGGTTTCTAGAATGCCTTGCAAGGCAAGGGAAATCAGATTTCTAGAAGGGTTTGGGCGCCACCTTTGTAGGAGATAAGATAAGGTTCCTAAAATCATGCTTTAAGTGCCAAATTTGTAGGGAAAAAGAGATAAGGGTGCAGCACCTTCTTAGGGATAATGTTTAGGGCTTCTAGAAAGCCTAAAACTAAGGGGAATTGGATAAAACCCACGGCAAGGATAGGATAGGGCATCTAAGGCTTCTAGAAACCCTCCAAGATAAGGTAAAGTGCATGGCATCCCTATAGGATTAGGATAAGGTGTCCTAAATGGATAAGGACTCTTCATTGTACTTGGAAACTTTGCCTATTAGGATTAGGAAACCTTGTCTTCATCATTCCTTCTTCATCTTGGACTCCTTTTCCTTCTTGGACTTGGAAAACTTCTTTGTTGCTTCACTTGAGACCATTTGGATTTTGACTTTCCTACTTCAAGTAGGACACCTTATTTGAGTAGGAATCTTCATTCTTCTAGGAATCCATCTTCAACTAGGAAACCCATTTTCATTAGGGACTTTCCTACTTCAACTAGGAAACCTTGCTCAAGTAGGAAACATCATCTTCAAATCTTCAATTTCGTCCATCCTCTTGGCTCTAAGCATATGAGGTCCATTCCAAGCTCTAATTTGCTCCAAAAGGCTCCAAAATGCATCCTTTTGCATACTTTGCCCTTAAAACCTGAAAATACATAAAACTAGCTTAAAACACTACTTTACTAAGGAAAAACACTATAAATGCACAAGAACAAGCTAAACTAAGGTGCATAAATATGCTCCTATCAAATTCCCCCACACTTAGCTTTTGCTAGTCCTCGAGCAAAACAAAATGAAACAAAGTAAGTAAACGAAGTAAAACGAGTAAAACACAACCTACACCTTCCAACAATCGCCTCAGGGATTTCCAATGCACATGACATGTTAAAAATCATCATTCCCACAGATTTTAGCCATCTTTACGCTTAAGCATTTACTTAATCATAGTCACTACTCATTAGTTCACAAATAACCAATTTAAAACATGATTTGAATGTAGCAACATGCCTTAGAGAATTTCCTCAATTCCTTACTAGATATGCACTCAATTTTCACACAGATTTTCTGACCACACACCCTATACTAGTTATATGTGAGAAGATAGATGTAAATATGAAAACGAATGCTCACATATATGTATGACAAAGAAAGCATTTTTTTGGAGTTAAAAAGCATGTTTATCAATATGATCTCATGAATGGAATGCTACTACTTAGATGCGAGAACCAGTGACACCATATGCTCGTAACAATTTTAAACTCCACAAATTGAAACACATAACACTCAAGATTAAAGTCAAGGGTTGTAACGGGGCTTGGGGTATTGGCTAACAAAGAAAGGTAAAGGATAAAACAAATGTTCTTTAAAGCAATAGTAAGCAAAGTAATGAATTTGACACTTAAACTCTCTTCAAATGGCCGAAATCAATTAGTACACACAAGGGAAGATTCATGTAACATTTAGGGTCAAATTCACTCTTTTGGACCCTTCCTTCAACAACCAACACTTGTGAGTTCATTCTCACTTATTTTTCAACTCTTTTTCTTTCTTTTCAACACTTTTCTATTTTCTTTTGATTTTTCTACGATTTTCTCTTCTTTTCTTCTTTTTTTCTTTTTTTTCTTTTCTTTTTCTCCTTTTTCGTGCCCTATCATCTTCCCCCACACTCGTTTCCTGCCATATATTGACCAAAGGAGTTCACCCTAAGTCGTGCTTTACTATCCTTTAAGAACAAAGGTATGGAAAGTCCTAATCTAGGCTAGGTGAGGATAATGTGGCTAACAACGAAAATAGGCTTAACGAGGCTCAACGGGGTTAAACCTACAAAAACACATGCATGGAATGATGGCTTTTTGGCTATGGTGGTAACTACTAACTTCATCTTGAATTTATGCAATTCAATAACATGTTTTGAATGAAATTGGCATGAGTTCTAGTATTTGGAACTAAATGATGAAACGCCTTCTAAGTAGTAACCAAGCAAAGAATAATGAGATCATGCAACGACTTTAGAAAACAAGAATGCACAGATTTGAACTCTCCAAATAAACGTTTAGGCTCAAGTCTCACAAGGTTGTAGCATTTGTTTGAGTTCCTTCCTTCAAGCATG